AGAATACTACATGGGTATTATTTTAAACGTGTTAGTAGTATTCTCATTCGACCATTGGTATAACTATCCTTAGACTTAAGGTCATTATGATCTTTAATATGTTGACCTATATGTTTTGATTCATATCTAACGCCATCTGAAATACTGGTGGACATACAGTTACGTTTTGGATATAGTTAAACATATGTAAAGACATAAATGATGTAGAAAGAATTTATCCCTTTCATAGTGATGAAGTGTAATGTCTTTGGGCCCACTGATTGATATGACTTGGGAAGTGTATAGCCATACCCAGATAAATTAATATATGTGATATTAATGTTATTTGAATCCCAGAAGTCAAAATGAGAATTAGTAAACCAATTATTTAACTTTAACAAGGTTACACTTCCCATACCTTGTGTTAAATCTAGACATTAATGATAAAGGGATAAGAATTATACAAATGTAATGTGTCGTTGGAGGTATTGTTGCAATGAACTTTATGTTTATAACATGGGTAGCGATAATGTGTTGCTAGATAGCACTTATCGTTTATAGTATTAATTGTGATTAAGGGCTGTTTGTTTCAGCCTCTTAATGGTTCAGATGTCTGAATGGTTCAGCACTTCATGGTTCAGACTGTTTGTTTCAGCCTCTTAATGGTTTAGATGTCTGAATGGTTCAGACATTTGCCTCTGAATAGTTAAGAAATATACTAGCTCTTAATGGTTCAGACCTCTTCTTGGTTCAGCACTTAATGGTACAGACCATAGTTTTCAGAACCGAACCAGTGAACGAACCAGTCAACGCACTGGTTCACTGGTCGAATCAGTGGTTCAAACATTTTTAATAAATATATATATATATATATATATATATATATATGTATGTATGTATGTATGTATGTATGTATGTATATATATATATATATATATAGACACACACACATTATGGCATTGAATTAAAAAAACTAATATATGAGTGAACAAAAAACTATTTCCTCTATTTATCAATAAATAATTGATGTTTGACTAAATTTATAATTAACTTAATTTACTTGAATCGTGTGTCTGCTATTGTTTGTACTTGTTGCTTGTACTTGGTGCTTTATCTGTGCTATATTGTGTTCCCTTCCATATTTTTGTGCAGGTGGAGCCAGGGGTCTATTGGAAACAGCCTCCCTACTTCTGAGTAGGGGCAAGGTCTGCATACACACACCCTCCCCAGACCCTACTGTTGTGGGATTCAACTGGATTGTTGTTGTTACTTAAATCGTGTCATCACATAAAAAAATCACATATTTTAAAAAATTTACGAATAAAAAGTGATTTGATTTTTATAAACATGTTACCTAGTATTTAATATATATATATATATATATATATATATATATATATATATATATATATATATATATAATATTTGTGTGATATGCACTTCATCTCAATTATATCAATGGGTTTTGAATTTTAGTAAAAAAGGCTATATTTTTTAAAAGTATTTGATAAAGAAGTTTGTAGTTAAAGAATATTAAAGACAAATAGCAACCAATTAACACAAACCATTGTAGCAGAGATGGTTAGAAGCATGGTTCTTCCTAGGATGTGGTCTTGGGTTCGAACCTTGGGCAAGTGCTTTTTAAAAACGTTTACAAAAAAATTTAAAAAACCGGTTCTAGTGGTGAAACCGGCCGATTTTCTCCGGTTTTAACCGGTTTCCACCGGTTTGTTGCTGAAGTTGGTCTGATTGCCAGGACCGGACCGGTTTGATGCACGGATCACCGGTTCCCGGTCCGTACCGGCCGGTCCGGTCCGGTTTTCAAACTATGGTTCAGACTTCTTACTGGTTTAGAAGTTTCTAAACAGCCCCTAATACTAAATGGAATATAATTATGTAAAATAATATGGGACGTGTGACGTACATATTAAATAAATATGTTGAACCTTGGGCAAGTGCTTTTTAAAAAAGTTTACAAAAAAATTTAAAAAACCGGTTCTAGTGGTGAAACCGGCCGGTTTTCTCCGGTTTTAACCGGTTTCCACCGGTTCGTTGTTGAAGTTGGTCTGATTGCCAGGTCCGGACCGGTTTGATGCACGGATCACCGGTTCCTGGTTCGAACCGGCTGGTCCGTTCCGGTTTTCAAAACTATGGTTCAGACTTCTTACTGGTTCAGCACTTAATGGTTTAGAAGTTTTCTAAACAGCCCCTAATACTAAATGGAATATAATGATGTAAAATAACATGGGACGTGTGACGTACATATTAAATAAATATGTTGACATTTTAATTATATGATAATTAAGTTTTTCAAACATTATGTGAGAAATAATATATATATATATATATATATATATATATATATATATATATATATATATATATATATATATATATATATATATATATATATATATATATTCGGTAATGTGAAAACCAATTGTTAAATATATATTTAATATTTATTTTTGTCTTAATTATATGATAACTAAAGTTGACAAAATAAATTATTATATTTTATGGGGAGGTCAAAAATTAAGAGGATAAAAGAAGAAGAAGAGTTTGACTCTATCCTTAATTCCTTAATAATTATCTAATATGATTATATAATTAAAATAATTCTTTAAAGAGTTATCTAATATGATTATATAATCTATATAAAATAAGAGGTTGTCTCCATTTTTAAAGAAGAAAGTTCTACACGCCACTTTTATTCTCTTGATCTCATCCTTGGCCGAAAATCACAAATAAAAAGGAAAAACTATATTTGATATTTTTTTAATCATTTATTGTAATTTTCTATATTCAAGTAATATTCTAAGAAAATTTACTAGCATAAATTCTTCATAGAACACCGTTCGTTGTTCGTGTGGACGCGCTAGAGGTTGGATTTGTTTGTGACTAGTTCGTTGCACCAATCCCTTCACCTGCACCATCCAATCTGTTTTCTACGAGAAAAGGTATTCTTCTCAACATTAATTTATAGTTTTGTAAGACGATCTTGGGTGGTAACGACGATTGGATATAAAAATTTTGTTTTCCGTTGTGCTATCCATGTGTGGTTACCCAACAGAATGAAGGAGAAATTGTACTCTTTATAGAGATGAGATGAAGAGGATGAAGCCAAAGTAAGGTCCTCTTCAAATCCCCATTTTTACGATTTGCAATGGCTGGGTGGGATTTGAGGTGGTTTCACATGCCTCTCCCTGATTGAGATTAAAATAGTCACAATCAGATTACACTTTTTGATCCAACTTTCTCCAAATTGAAATCTGATTATACCGTTACGGTCAGATAGTCAAGCTCTACGCAACAATATAATTTTCAGTTTTTTTTAAAATACTTTTTGTGACACCATATTTTTTGGTGTTGACTTTGACAGAGTAAAAATTGAATTAAATGATATATAATTAAAAGTACTCTTATATTCAACCAATATTAATCAATTTAAATAATTTATTTCAATGAATCATTTTACAAAAATTCACATCTTTAACCACTTCTCATTTTTATGTAAATTACATATTTAAAATGTCACAACTCAAATTTTGTACATAAGATTTATTCATAAAATATACCGTTGGATTCGTCTCGTTAAGACCTATCCATAAAACTCAATTTTAACAAAAAAAATCATTGACTCCAGGATTTTCTTCATTTTTTGTCAAACATAGAAATAAAACTTTGTTGGGTCAAAATATTGTTTTGAAATTTTTTTATCATAAAATAACTTTTAGGCCATGTTTTGGGGCGTTAAACCACGTATGGCTCGGTGGCTAAGGTTTGTGGCTTCACCATGCACTGCCACATTATTTTACCCTAGTTTTTACGTTTATTCACGAATATATCTATTTTGATATTAGATTTTGTTAGACTTTTTTTATTGTTGAAAGTAATCATTACTTTCAGAAGAGATCACCAATTGAGAATTGAAAATCTTTTTGGCTTGTTTTTAGATTTTTAACATTTATTTTTTAAAATATCTTTTGCATCGGTTATTTCTAAATAACTGATGCAGAAGCTTCTTTTTTAAGTGTTTGCATCGGTTATTTTAAAGGAGGTTTTGCAAAAGATTTTTAACATTTATTATTTCTTTTTAAAATATCTTTTGCATCGGTTATTTAAAGAAACTTTTCTAAACAACCGAAGAAGTGTTTGCATCTGTTTGGAAACAGCTGATGCAAAAGCTCCTTTTTTTAAAGAAAAAGAAGCTTTTGCATCGATTGTTTAGAAGCAACCAATGCAAAAGCTTTTTTTACAAAAAAAATTGCATCGGTTCTTTATATATTAACAATGCAAAACTCTTTTTACTTACAATTAAAAATGAGCTTTTGCATCGGTTATTTACAACCGATGCAATTGCTATAGGGAGCAATTACATTACTCAAAAACCAATGTAAAAGGTCTTACACAACCAATGCAATTTCCCTTTTGTGTAGTAGTGTGTCTTCATGTCGTGCGGAGACCATCTTCAGAGTGACTCATATAATAGGCTTAACAAATCGGGCGTCCCCGATATGAGCTCTCCTGAAACACAAGTGTACTCAATTCGATTGGGTTCAGAGTTATGAGAAATTTTGTGCAAGACGAGTATTTATCATTCTTGGCCTAGAGTTGAACAAGAATGATTTTTACCCGCGTGCCAGGCCAGGCTTGTGTCAAATATTTTAAGGATGAGTGTTTGAGATTTATCTCCTCAAAATCTTCCATCATCTTTTTGAACTTGTCAAAAAGACTCTAAGAGGTGAGTATGCTTTCATAAGAAGATGAGCAGGAGGTTTGTGAAATTACATCTTGATCAGCATCATTTTTGGCCATGAGGCAGAGAGTGTCATCTTCTATCATTGTCCAAGGATTTTCATGGTTGGACTTCTCAGTTCTGCGCTCCATCTTCCTCATCCGAGCTGGAACTGGATGACTTTTCACTCCTAGCCGCTACTATTTCCTTCTTCTTCTTCTCATTCCTTTCTCCTTCTCCGTACTTCTCCACTTTTGGGTACAGACATGCTGACTTCCAATGACCAGGTTTCCTGCAGTTATAACACAGATAAGATTCAGGGGGGAGAATTACTTACCTGTAGCTTTCCCTTGGACGGTCTTCTGGTGGAGTCAGTCTGATTGAAGAACTTCTTGAACTTCCGGAATTGCTTGATCATCATAGCGATTTCCTCTTCCAAGTTCTCTGCCTTTGAACTTGGCTGCTGGCTGGTGGAGGGGGTGTCACAGCTCTTTGGACAAGTTCCTTCACTCGTTGTGACTCTGACTTTTGTCATCAGCGCTGTGGGATAAGGAGTGGCTTGTTCCTCTTTTTTTTTCTTCTCCAGCTCGTGCTCATAGGTCCTGAGCTCGTCGAGGAGTCCTTGGACAGTGTAGTTCTCCAGGTTCCTTCTTTCTTCCATTGTTGTGGCTTTGGTGTACCACTCAACCGGAAGAGATCTAAGCAACCTTATGCTCTTCTCTTTGGGAGAGAGAACGTGGTTAAGTGATGCAAGATCATTTAGAATCTTGTGGAATCTTTCATCCAGCAAGTCAAATGATTCTTCGGGAAGCATTTTGAAGCTTTTAAACTTCTCAAGTAGAACTTCAATCTTCTGCTTTCTCAAATCTTCTGATCCTTCACACAGCTTCCCAAGACCTTGCCATATTTCCATGGCAGTCTTGAGATGCTTGATCTTGGAAAAGGTGATGAGATCAAGTGTCTTGAAGATGACTGCCTTGGCGACGTTGTCCAGATTGTGCTTTTTGCAATCTCTGTCATCCCATTTGTCCTTGGGCTTTGGGATGTACTTGACTACGTCTAGATTGTTTGAATCACTCTTTGGATTCTCCATTTAAATCTTCAAGGGCCCTTCTTCAAGCACCATCCACATGCAATCATGCAGGGCGTAAAGGTGTGCTTCCATCATGATATTCCAGTCATCATAACCTAGAAGAGAAAACTTGGGCAAACCGTAATCCATACTGTTCACCATTGTGATCGCTTTTCTTTAATCTAAAAGTAGATAGTGAGAAGTTTGCTCTGATACCAATTGGAGGTCCCCTAAGTGGTGAGATACAAAGTCTAGAGGGGGGGAATAGACTTTGTTACAAATTAAAAACTTTTTTGTTTCTTATAAAAACGTGAAATGAGTGTTAATCTAAAGTTCTTGTGAACTTAGATTTTGTGCCGAAGTTGGTGGGTTGTTGGAGCAGTAATCAATATGGATGTGTTAGTTTTCACAGTTAATATAAACACAAGTATAAGTAAAGATAAGAGAGAGAGAGACGCAAACTTTAACGAGGTTCGAAGGTGGGGTAATCCTTCTACATCTCCAAAATCCACTATGTAGTTGGTTGTTGAATAATGAACTAGCAATTACACTTTGTGAATTTTTTCACGGTATATCTTCGCAAGGCCAATATAGCTACTGCCCTCGTGCTGGCTTTGTTGTTCCTTCGAAGGTCAAGCTTCTTCAACAAGTGCAAAGTCCGAACAGTAGGACTTGCAAGATCAACTTGTAGAAAAGTTGATGTGCCTCATTTTAATCAAGATGTTTGATTAAAAGTTGTATCCTTCAACGTGGTGTGGTACTTGAGGCAAGAAAACCTTCAAGTGTTTTCAATTTAGCTCTTTGGAAGAAGGAGGAGTTTGCTTTTGGATAATGAGTTTAGAGTTCTCTCTTTGTCAAGCTTTTTGGCTAACTGTGAGTAAGATAGCTTTGTTAGTTGTTCGTTGTGTTCATCATATCTTCTTCAGTCTTCCTTGAGAGCTATATATAGGCTAGATGAATAATCTATTCGTTGAAGGGAATAGACTATCCCGTGCATTTGCTAGCTTCAATTTGAACAAAGAGGGAGATTGAGGATTCTCCTTGGAGTGGGTGTTTGGACATACCCAATTGTTTGAAGAGGGATTCCTTTTTCACATAGTTTGTCCTTTAGCTGTTGTTCAAGAACTTTGGACTATAGCTCTTTATTGAGTGGAGTACCCATTTTGTCTTCTTGTGTTTGTTCAAGAATTCTGACCAAGCTCTTTAATTTGAGGAGTCCAAACTTTGTCTTCTTGTCATTTGTTCTTGAATCAGCTCAATTATCCTCAATCTAACCATTGAAAATCAAGAGATCGATTTTTCCTTACCAACGGGTAGAATTTCTTCATTCAGGACCTAGATAAAATTTCTAAGTCTTTTCTCACTTGTCCGTTTCGGAGAGTTCTGGTCCACCTTGAGACATTCGACTCTTAGCTTGACAGTTCCGGAAAAGTCATTCTTAGAATTCCGAGTGAAAAGATGATCCTCGTGAGTCTTCTGATCCGGATGACTTAGCCTTCAGCGGATTGTAGCTAGACTTTCGGGTATCAATGAGCATTCCGGATTTGAGAATTCCAAAGTAAACTGACTTCTTTGATAAATCTTTTCTTGTCTCTGACATTTTCGAGCGAAAGTTCCAATTTCCATATCACTGATTTTGGTAAGTCTTCAAAGTATAAACTCAAAATGAAATATCATAAATCTTATTTGAAATCTCAAGAACTTGGTTTTAACAATATTTCTAAAAAGAAAATTACATTGAATAGTGGGGGAGACCTAGAGTCCCTATTACAATCTAAATACATCATCATCAAAATCTATAGTTTTTCCCAACACTATTTGAGAATACTTTTAACAGTTCAATGATGATGTAAAAGGTATCAGAGCTTGAGGACGGCTAACAATGTTATACATAGCTCTTTCCAAGAAGCATGAGAAGCATTGAGGTTATTAGCCGATGATAAAAAACTCATTGAGGGAGTAAAAGAGGCTGCTGAGCTAGGATCTGGAAGTCAATTAAGAAAGTTGTTTGTCACATTGTTAATGACAAATACCATGATCCGTCCTCAAGTTGTTTGGGAAAAAACATGGGAGCTCTTAGTTGATGGAATCTTATTTGATTGAAGAAGAATATTGCGTAATCAAGGTATTTTTATAAAAACTTATTTTTTATTATTTATATAAACATTAATATGAAATGAATGGTATTTATACAAAACTCTAGAATTGACATATTTGTCGAAATAATTTAGTCTAATATTAACTTTTTTTGCAGAACTTCTTATCTCCCCAAAAGATCTAAAGAATTTGTGTTTGATTGAGATTGAAAAGTTACTTAATTAAAACTGACGATAATTAAAAGAGTTTGGTGGTATGCTATTTCCAGATGACAACCCACTCAATATATTTCAAAATAACTTCTTGGTAGAGGAGTTGAACTATGATAGAGAAAATTGTCATCTGATCTTAGACAATATTTATCTACTATGAACAAAGACTAGAATAAGATATACGACGATATAATGGAAGTCGTGGCAGTTGAAAAAGGAGGTTTCTTTTTTGTGTATGGTTACGAGGAACCAGAAAGACCTTCCTCTAGAAATCATTATCCGCTTTTCTTAGATCAAAAGGAAAGGTTGTTCTGAATGTTGCATCCAGTGGGATTGCAGCATTGTTATTGCATGGTGGAAGGATTGCACACTCTAGATTCTCAATCCCATTGGCGCTAACTGAGTGCTCAACATGTACCATCAAATAAGGGAGCCCGAAAGTGGAATTCATCCAACAAGCAAGTTTGATAATATGGGATGAATCATGCATGATGAATAGATTTTCTTTTGAGACTTTGGATCACACAATGAGAGATATCATGAGGTTCTCTAATGTTAACTACAAAAATGAACTATTTGGAGAGAATACAGTTATACTCGGAGGTGACTTTCGACAGATCCTTCCAGTTTTACCCAGAGCTTTGAGAGAGGAAATTGTAGGTGCTATGGTTAATTCCTCAAATTTGTGGTCGTACTATAAAGTTTATTTGTTGACCAGGAATATGAGACTGCATTCATCCACGTCTTCTTGCACAAATAGGGACACATAAACTTTTTCTGATTGGATAATCAAAATAGGTGATGGAAAGCTAGGTCAGGTGATGGATGGAGTTGGAGATGTTGAGATTCCGCTTGAATTCTTAATTCTCGATACAACTTCTCCTATGAAGAGTATAGTGGACTTCACTTATCCGAATATATTAGAGAATATAAAAATTTATTCTTTTTTTGAGGATAGAGCCCTATTGGCACCAACTCTCGAAATAGTTGAAATGATAAATGAATTTGTTTTGTACCTCATTCCTGGTGATGAAAAGGAGTATTTGAGTTCTGATTCTTCGTGCTAAGAAGAAGCAAATGTAGGTGCTGATGGTGATTAGATAACAGTTGAGTTTTTGAACAAAATCAAATGTTCGGAAATCCCAAACCGCAAAATTTATTCCAAAAAATAAATTTCATTAAAATGATTCGGAATCAACATAAATTTCTTTCGACCCTGTGCATGGCACGGGTTAGAATACTAGTTTTAATTATGGCCGTCCACAAGTAATCTTGCTATAATCCCCCATCCCTGAAGATTACTTTCAACGACACGGGACTTCAACAACCTCGTCAATGATTACCAACCTCCAGGTGTTGATTGGAAGATCTAGTAGCAGCACTTCTTGATTTTCTTAGGCTGCAACCGTGGCTGACCTCGACGGCAGCAGCGATAGAGGATTCCACCTAAAATGAACAGACCTATAAAGTTTTTTGTCTTTCGTTTTTAATGAAATTGTGGTAGACCCATGATAGTCTCCTCTTTCCTCTTCAACAATGGTGGTGGAAGATTTGAGCAACAATAGCTGCGATAAATGTTGTTTGTGGGGGCGTAAATTTTGATCGAGAAGCTTTGTACGACCGGTTTTGGCGATAATGGCTGCGAAATTGAGCAGCGGTGGGAACATCTCTGCACCTATTGCATCTAACAAGTTTCATCATCTATGGCTAGGGCACTATATTTCAACACTGGCCGCCATTACTACTGGAATTTTGGCGGCGGAGACAGTGGAGGCCAGCTTTGACAATAAGGCTATTAGATTTCTTCAGTTCCCTTTCCTCTTGGGAGTAGTGTGAGAGTTAGTGTAAACCTCCCATGCGGGAGAGCAATTGTGGCGTTTCTAGTAGCAAGACACGGATGCTCGACTTTTCATCCCAAAAGTTTTAGATCTGGTCTCCTTTTGGTCTCCCTCTACTATTCTGCATCTACAAGACGTAGTGAACACAACATGACTATATGTGTCAGTCCCACAGTCAGCACCAAAATGATGGTGTTAATTACCTCGCTGGAAGTCATGTGATTATATTCGATGGGAGAACAAATCTAGAGTTCTTGTTGGATGGAAAGGAGTGTAATCTAGGGTTCTTGGAAGGAAATGAGAAGGCTGATTGTGCAAGAGAAACGAAATAGATCTAAGCTAGCACTACAAGAAATTCATCAAATTGCGACGAAAAATTTTCATTGCAAAGACCTTATTTTCTCTCGCAACCAAGGGTTGCGAAGGGTGTTGCGATGACTTGTGTTCTGTCGTAGTTTGGTGGCCGCAAACCTAACTACGACGATGACATCTCAAGCCTGCTAGGGACAAGTTTCATTGTCTGTATATGCGGCGGATTATGCAAAGTCCACTTATACCTTACGTAATGTACATTACGACAGTGTAAAAAAATAATATTACTATTATATAGAGAGTGATGAAGTAGATCTAAGCGAGTGAATGCACGTTGGCAACGAGGAGGGAGAGATAGGTGGGAGCTTTAAATGAGAGTGTAATTTTGTCCACATATGATAGAAAATTAGAAATGGAAAGTTTATTTCCGTACGGGAAAAAGAGAAACAGAAAGATCAAATCCGGATGAAGAGAGTAGTATATATGTTCCGTTCGAAACTTTTAGTATTAAAAGTTACCTTGAACCATTCTCTAATATCGAGTCGGCTGATCGATTATAAACGATTTAATTCTTTTGAGATATTTAATGATTTGGTATTTTTCATTTGATATTCTCGGGTTTTTGAAAAATATTATATATGTTAGTGTAATTGGAATGAGTATTTGACCAATGTTATCATAATAATTGTCAAAGAACTTTGGTGGTGCGGAGTGCATGCTTTTGGGAGTTTGTTATGATAAAAGTTTTGTTTTGCCCCTAATTATATAACAGGGTTCCATGAGGGCAGTGTCCTTTTGGCGGGGATTCGGGTGTAGGTGCCTCAAGAACATGGTTCAAGGGGCGGCAACCCTTGCAGGGTCCAAGGGGTAGAGCCCCTGGCTGGGGTCAATATCCCGTGTTAAAACTTTACTTGAATTTTGTTTTTGAATTCGGCACTTAAAGAAATTCGAAGGAGCGCCCCTTACTATTTTTGCATGATTAGCTGCAATCATTGGATAGAGTTGCGAACTAAGCTTTTTGCCCTTTCCTGCGACTATAATACATTCTCCCAAGTTTGGCCATAAGGGCACTTCAAAAATTAATACAATTCATACTTGATTTTGATCAATAATTTGAGTTTTATTTGATTGAGTTTGAATTGAAAATCCAAATAATCAATATGAAAGTGTTATCATCACTCTGAGATAAATTCGTATTATTTCAATTCCCCAATAAAATTAGTGTAAATTCTCAAAACGATCCTTTCTAATAATATTAAGTATTTTTTCAAATTAGTCCTCAATAAGTAATAATTACCAACATGGTTTTTTGTAATTGAGATTTATTTCCAAAATAGTCATCCATAAAAAAATGCCTATTAAATGATAGTTAAATGGAATGTATTTTTGTATTTTCCATCATACAAAAATAAGTCTACAAAATGGTCCTTTCAAATAAAGCGGTAAGCTGCTAGAATAACTGACCCACCCGAGTTAGCTCATGGACACTATTTCGAGAAAAATATTTGCTTAGAAATTATCAAATTGGAAAAATATTTAATTATAAAAGAGTATTTCGTGAACATACATTAAGTCTAGATGCTAGAAAATACAAAAATATCTTCTATTTGACTCATATTTGATAGACATTTTTGACATATGATTATTTAGGGAATACATATCAATTACCAAAGACCACATTGATAATTATTGTTTATTAATAATTAATTTATAGAAGGCAAATTCTTCCGTGGACGTAAGATCAATGCTCATTTTATACAATTTATTGTATTGGTATTATAAAAGAAATGAGTCTTTACAAAAATGAATATATCTACATGCAAGCTCTTGAATAATGTGAGAACCCATCACTAAATTTAGAAAAATATTTCCATTTTGTGAAGGAAAATTCTACTTGTATCCCATTTTTGTACCACAAAGATTTGCCTTGACATTAAATATAAATGCAAAACTGATATTATGCCAGTATTGTACTGTACCTACATTTTATGTCAAGATATAACTTTAAAGTACAAAATGGGGTACAAAGTGGGGTGAGGAGAACATATTGTGTATTCAACCAATAATTTAAGAATGTGTTTGCTCACCCGGGCGGCCCGGCCTACCCATCTGGGATACAAGTCCCCCACCTCGTGTATCTGTAGATCACAAGTTCACGACCCTCGACTGATAGAGGTTTACACCGTTGGAGCCTTCCAAGCAGAATGATCCCATCGACTTGTATATGCGCCTCTGCTTTCCAGCTCCCACCTCTCTATTCTTCCTCAACCAGGCAGCTCTCTCTCTCTCTCTCTCAAAGTAAAGAAAAATTTCATTCAGGCTTTACGAATATCTAGTTTGGTGCGCAGGTGTTCCGCAATTGGCGAGAGTTGTGCAATTGAAGCTCGAAATCTCAGATATTCGGTTCTTACAAAACAGGGAAAAGAACTCCCAATTCTAAACGACTGTTCCCTGAGCATTCCTTCTGGCCAGCTATGGATGCTTCTTGGGCCCAATGGCTCCGGAAAGTCTACTCTTTTGAAGGTGAAATTGAAAACTGAGCATTCGATTTTTTGCATTTTAATTTCGCACTCTCAGTAGGCTTGCCTTTTAACATGATATCTGGTTGTTAATTTTGTTTGTAAATACCCAGATCTTGGCGGGGCTCTTGTGTCCTAACAGTGGTTCTTTTTATGTGAAGAAACCAAAGAGTTATGTATATCAAAATCCAGACCACCAGGTTTGTTTTTGTAATGGGTTCCCTTATTTGGCTCATTTACTTCATCTAAAGTGCTTGTCCCATTTTTTTAGTCATCCCGGAAATGTGGATATGGAATGTGAGGGAACACATATATTGTTCTTCTTGGAAAGGAATCAAACAATTCCATTCATGGAGAATCCAAAGGGCACATATATTGTTGAATGACTGGATCTTTAACCATTTTGGTTTTTGCCTTATTGCATAAACTTTGATCGGGACATGGACTCGACTAGCATCCCTATCTAAACCCATACACCAAATTTTTGATATGTCTAAAGGATGCACCCAACATCTTAGTCAAGTGAGAAATTGATTCTTAGACCAATATATATCTTATTTTAGATATAATATATCCATGATGATATTAAATATTTTTGTTTTTATCAACTTTGCATAGTGAATTCTCTTTTGAAGCTATCACCTTTTCTTTATTTTCATTTATCCATTCATGTCTAGATTAAAATGTTTCTAATGTTTGTTCCTTATAGTTTTGTTTTCATTAATTAGCCAATAATATTTTATAAAAGATATAATGGAATAATAGATATAATATCTCTCTCCCATAGATCTCTCCTCAAGTCTCTCTCTCATAGGTTACATTTTGTGTATGCTAGGTAATCATTGTTTTTATGCTTGAATACTTTCCTGGTATGTATTAGCTTCCTTGTTCATTTGTACTCTCTCCTCTATGTATACCAGCTTCTTGGTTAGTGGATATACGGCAAATTTTATGTCTCTCTATATGGCACCAGAGNCCCCCCCCCAAATATGCTCTTCCCTTACCACTACCTCGTTGATGATGTAAACCACCTACAGTGTTGCTACTCCAGTCGAGCCAATTCATCTGGCCGTGCCAAAGTCCTTTCCTATCAAACTCACAAATACCAACTTTTTATTATGGCATCGTCAAGTGCAATCCACTCTCATGGACTCAACCTCCTGGGATATGTTGATGATACTACCAAAGCACCCAATTTTTGGAAGCCGCGCCAACCCGACAAAATTTGGTTTATCCACTTGGCATTTGTAGGATCAAATTCTTCACAGTGCTCTCAGTCGAAGCAGTTCAGGCTCCGTTCAGCCGCTCATCTCCCTTGCTGGAATTGCTCATGGTGCATGGACGAGACTCAACACCAGTCTTGCAAGTATGTCTTTTGGTCATATCATTTCACTCAACACCAAGAATCCCCAAGGTACTCATATTCTTCACGCTTTTCTTTAAATATTGTCGATATTGTCGCTAGGATTATCCTATCCGGTAGCCCAAATTATGATGATGATGATCTCGTTGTGTCTATAATGACTCAACTTGTTGAGGAGTATCATGCTTTCTATCAGTCTCTTTGTGGTCGAGGTGATGGTGTCTCTCTTGATGAGCTTATTAATACTCTCACTGATTCTGAACATCAAATGAAGGAGAGGGACATTATTCTTGACTGTTTACTTCCCACGGCCAACTATCCTCCCCAGACCGACCCGAGCACTGGCTCATGACAAGGCAATCCAACCGGTAGTAACAATCATTCATCCAACAACGATAACTAGTCTCACTCCTCGAGCTGTCATGGTGGTTGCTGTGGAGGCCGCGACTCCTCTCATGGCGATTCTAGGTCTTCTAGACAATTGTAATTTTGTGATTATTGAGGGCATGATATTCAGTTTGTAGGAAGCTCCAACGGTTTTTTGTGCGACAATAATTTCTACTACTTTAAGACTGCCCTTACCGATCCAAAAACAAATGTTGTAGTCTCCTCCCTCGCCCAATCAATAGTGGCTTCTTGATTGTGGTGCTTCTGATCATGCCACTATGGACTTGTTTGCTTTCACGTTCTTCATGGAGTATGGTAGCCTCGATGAGCTTCAGTTAGGTAACTATAGACTTTGTTTATTTCACACATTGGTTAGTCCTTGGTGTTATCTAATATTTTTTGTCTCTTCTTTACAAAATAATGTCATCTCTGTGTCTCAACTTTTCAAAGGTAATCATGTGTGTTGATATGTTCTCCACCCATTTCGTTGCGAAGGATGCACAAACGGGGATGCCTTTGCTTTGGGGACCAAATGGGGTTGCAGATGCTCATTTGCTACCAGGAGCTTCACCGCCGTCCTACCTTCTTCCCTCTTAGATATTCATCACCGTCTTGGACATCCAAGTTATAAAACTATGAGCCTTATTCTCTGCGGGTGTGCGAGTTTATCTCATCTTTCCTCTAATTCTAATTTCAGCTATTCTTCTTGTAACTTAAACAAAAGTAATAAGTTGTCCTTTTCTTTTAATGCTAAGATTAGTTCCCGCCTATTTGATTTACTTTATACAAATGTGTGGACCGTTTCACAGTGTTCAATTCATGGGTACTACTATTGTCTACCCTATGAAACATAAGTATGATGTATTTCACTTATTTCCTCAATTCCAGCTTTTGGTAGAAAGATTTTTCAACTATTTTATTTTAATCAATACTTTCAAACAATGGTGGTGAATAATGGATTATATTAAAGTGGTCCAGCTTAATCAACATGTATTCAACATGTCATCTTGCTCTTCACCTCTCCACCTCATACTCCGGAACATAATGGGATGACTGAACGTTGACGCAAACATATTGTTTAGACAAGACTGTCGTTATTCCACTGTTCCGGTCTTTCTCTCCCCTTCTAGACCTTTGCTTTACAAGCTGCTGTTTGCCTGATTAATCACTTCCCTAGTCCCCACACCTTTCCTCAATAGTATGTCTCTATATGAGTCCTTATTTCACAAAGTTTGCGATTATGCTAAACTCAAGCCCTTTGAGTGTCTGTGGTTTTCATTGCTTTGCTCCACAGACCAGAGTTTCTCTGGTCATTAAAGACCATATGTGGAAGAGTCAAGAGTGCCATGGATGCCGGATTGGCGGTGCACTGCTCTTTTACAGAATCAGACGTGGGACCTTGTGCCCCATCCACAACAGCATGCCATTTAGTCTAAATGGGTATTTTGTGTCAACTGCAAACCCGATGGTAGTGTTGATCACTACAAAGCATGCCTTGTGGCAAAGGGGTTCTTTCAACAACCTGTACAAGATTACTTTGAAACATTCATCTCAATGATAAAACCGGTCACCATCCCTGTTATTCGTACCATTGTTCTATCTTGCAGTCAGCCCCTTACATTCCTTTCTTGGAGTTGAAGTCATTCCTTTTTCTTGGGGGCGTGTTCTTATGTCAAAGGCAATATTTTTCTGACACCCTTCAAGAACATCATATGTTTGATGCCAAGGCTATTACTACTCATCTTAGTGCCACTGCACCTCTTCTTCTTAATGACGACACACCGAGTGCCGACCCCACTGTGCATTACCTTCTTTTTGTCTCCCGCGAGTATTTTGTCATTACTTGCCCGGACTTGGCGTTTGCTGTAAAAAAAACTCTCTCAATATATGTATGCTCCTAATACTACTCATTGGCATACTTCTACTCATTGTTAGGCATCAAAACAAATCCTACATTACCTTAAAAGCACTCTTTCTCACTGTCTTTACCTCTGAAGCAATATTCCTCTCAGACAAACAGTCTTCTCAAATTCCGATTGAGACGGAGTTCATGATGGTGGACGTTTCACTACCGCCTATGTTATATATCTTCGCTCTAATGAAGTTTCAAGCTCAATGAGCAAGTTCCAGAACCAGAGAGTTTCAGCTGGGGCATGGACGGCAAGTGCAGAAACTATTACCTAGCTTAAAGTTCCTACCTAACTACCATTACCTTTATCCTTGCTCTCTAAGTGCTCTTATCTAAGGCCATAACCTCCGTAAGGGCAAGAAGTCCTAGGTCTTGTCTAATCACCTCTTTCCAATTTTTCCTAGGTGTTCCCCTTCGCCTACTCCCACCCACCAACGCAAGCCTCTCGCATCTCCGCATAGGGGCGTACATCACTCTGTCGCATCACATGCCCAAACCACCTCAACCTAGCTTCTCATATCTTATCTTTCATAAGAGCCAGGCCTACCCGTCTTTGGGTAAACTAATCCTTTCCATCCTTGTCATCCACGGCAGCATCCGCATCTCCGCAGCATTCAGTTGGCAAACATGGGTTTTCTTAATTGCTCAACACTTCGCACCATACAACATAGCTGGCTTGAATACTGACTAGCAAAGCTTACCTTTCATCCTAGCCGAAATCTTCTTATCGCACCTCCACTTAGCCCAAGTCACTCCAACACGATGCCAACATTCCCGTCCAACTCCCCATTCGCATGAACTTCCTAGCCAAGATACCAAAATTTGTCTATCTTAGGCACTGAGTGAGAATCAATCTTTAGCTCCACTGTGATTCCGTCTCCCGGACACTAAAATATTATTACATGTATTCAGTCATGGTCCTACAGTCCTTTGGATTCCAAGGAAAGGCGCCAAAGTTCCAACTTGTTATTTAGTCTCTCGCAAGTGTCGTCGATAAACACAATATCATAAGCAAAAAGCATGCACAACAGTGCCTCTCCTTGAATTCCCTGCGTCTGGACGTCCATCACCCGAGCGAACTAGAAAGGGCTAAGGGCAGACCTATGGTGGTCCGTGTAACCCCACCTCTACAGAGAAAGGCTCAGAGTCACCCCAACAGTCTTTACCCTAGTCCTTGCCCCGCTGTACAAATCTTTGACTGCATGAATGCATGCCATTGAAAGCCCTATCAACTCAAGACACCTCCACAAGTCTCGAAAACCGTCGTACGCCTTTTTTGAGGTCAATAAACACCATATGATGATCCTTCTCAATATCACTCTCTATATGGAAATGCCTTGACTAAAGTGTTTCTATTGTTTGTTCCTAGGTGTTGTTTTCATTTAACTAATGAATAATTAATATTTTACAGATATATAATGTGACTTACATATTTCTCTATCAACAGGTGGTGATGCCTACTGTGGAAGCTGATGTGGCTTTTGGTCTAGGGAAACTCAACATATCCATGGATGAGATCAAGCCTAGAGTGGCAAAAGCTCTGGATGTTGTTGGCATGTATGAGCATTTGCATGTACTGGCTTCCAAAATCTTGCTTTGAAGTTATGATTAAAACTGCATGATGCATGTTGCAAAACATTGCAATGTGCAAGTGCATGTGATCAAATATATGATATGGTAATGAAGTATTTATTCCACTATGACAAAGGTCAAATAGCAAATTTACTATTACCTTTATTACTCTCTCCGTCCATTTATTTTCTTCCAGTTTTGACCGGGAACAAATGTTAAGAAAAGTTAAGATTTGCATTGTCTTTTCATTACAAATGTTTGGTGAGCAATTAAGAAATCAAATATAAGTGCTGAATGATATTTTACATTGACATACAATTCATAACACAACAACAACAAACAACAACAACCCAGTTGAATCCCACTACAGTCTGGGGAGGGTGTGGATACGCAGACCTTACCCCTACTCGTAAGTAGGGAGGCTGTTTCCAAGAGACCCCTAGCTCCAACTGCACAAAAAAATGATAAGAATCACAGTATAACACAGATAAAACACCAAGTACAATGGAATGAAAGTCCTGCAAGCAATATCATAACACAACAAATAAATATAAATTTTGCATTAGAAACTAGATACAAAATAATTGGAAAAGCTATCAATTTTTTAAAGAAGGGTTTCCATATTCTTTGTTATGCACATTGAAACAACAACAACAACAACAACATTACCCCGGTTTAATCTTTGACCCCTATGTTTAAGCGGATGTTTCCAGATGACCCATGATGAGCGTCGAAAGTTGCATTGACCAACTGCTACTTCACAAATGCAAGAAGCGCAGACAGTTTAGAGAGCCGATTTTCTTTATTCCATCATATTCCAAAGCCAAAAAATAGCGAATGTTCGGCTCCCAAAGCATAAAATAATTTACCAAATAAGGAATTAGGAAGAAAATTTATGGACAGACCAAAATGTTAAGTAAGAAGAAAACTTATGTACGGAGGGATTATTTAAAACACCAATCATTAGTTGGGTAATTAGAATAAGCAAATCAAATAATTTAAAATGCAATGAAGGTGCAACTTGGGAATACATACACATCATAAATTGTATTCTTATTATGAGCTCTGTATATAATAGAATGAGTCTTGTCTTAATAATATACATATAACTAGATCCCCTGAGTTATATCATTATTCTTTTGAGAAACAACATGGCTTTGGCATATGAATCCCATGTCTGCATCAGTGGTCTGCGGCTTATGTGGACAGAGAACGATTTCTCAATAGCAAGGTTTCAGTTTTGAACATTTAAATGGGAAAATATTCCAGTTTTTGTCATTTTGTGGCATGACTACTAGATCATTTTCACTTTTGGTCCCCTCAACTTTCATTTATTCTATGCAAATCTATACATTTAGTCAGTAGTTATGTAACGGCTTAAGCATGCACGTGCGACATGATATCAACACTGCTCGTAGTTTCACATGCTCTAAGTCTAATTACTTGAATTAGTATTTTACTGTTATGCTTAAGCCTTCTCTTTAAGTCATAACACCTTAGATTGAGCAAATAATGGCATGCATTTTGTCCACATTAAGCATTTAAATAATAGATGGTTCTAATGCAATACTTTGATTCAATTAAATGGGGATAAATCATATTTTTATTTAGTCTAGAAATAAATTTAGCCACCCATGACAACACAAATAATCAACATCTTTATTGTGAAAAGCTACAAACATGTTTAAAAAGAACAATTATTAGTAATTTTTAAATGCAATAAGAGAGGGATTGAGAAAATCCCCCGTTTTCTGGATTTTGACAGCTGAACCTTCAATTATGTCACCAAGAATAATTCACGTGGTTGTTGCCTTGATTCTTTGGAGTTTCCCTTGCATCCTGACACATTGTACATTTGTCTCCTAGTCCTTCCAAGTCGGGATACTCCCTTTTTGTATAGATTTTATTCTTGGTGGAAAAATAGGTTTCATATGGGCAAAGGTTTCTTTCTACGTAGGGCTTACTTTGTCTCAGTTGAAAAGCACATCAGGAGTGTGGGCATGCCTATCCATCCATATATTTCTTTTTTGTTGATTATGTGCTGAATATTACATGGTTTTGTGTACATCTGATGTGCTCCTACCCAATACTTTATTCTGCCCATTGAAGTTCTCCTTTGCTGGGGGTTTCTGTATAAATTTCAATCCAACCATGCTCCATTTCTGTAATTTCTCTCTGGTTTCTGAAAGTTGCTAAAAGTTCTTCATGTTTTGAGGGAATGTATGAAACTTGCTTTATATTTATTCTATTATTCCCTCTTCTTGCCATATGTGTAGAAGTAATTACATCCTTATGCTTAACTAAAACAGTGGAAATTAATATCAACCTACTGCCAAATAGTATGGTGACATGTGTAATTAATTAATGACCATTTCTATTGTACTCGGCAGAAACCAGTTCACACTCTTAGTGGAGGTCAGAAACAAAGGGTAGCCACTGCTGGTGCTTTGGCAGAGTCATGTCAAGTGTTGTTGTTAGATGAACTGACTACATTCTTGGACGAAAATGATCAGGTACTATTGTTACTGTTTGCGTAGTCATTTGTTGTCTTGTCGCTACTAATCATTCGGTTGAACCAAACATATATTTTTGCATGTTGGAATTAGTGGGTCCCAGCCTCCCAGGGTATGGGGGAGGAAGATGGTACGGAGTCTCATTTTTTTCCTAAGATGCTTCTATATTTAAACAACTGCACAGGATAAATATTCAATTTGGAGAATTGGAGCTCCAGCGAGAGTGTGAGACCCATCAGTTTCTGCTTGAAACTAATAGGGAATACTTTCTAGTTGAGAACTACCACCTTTAAAAAATGCAATGTTTTGACAGGTGATGATTTTTAGCCCAAAAGGTCCCTGCATTGAGCTGAAAAACAATACTTTTTACGGATGCCATGAGGCGTATCTCTCAAGATCCTCTGTTCAGATCTATTACGAGTAAATTATCGGTGAATGGGTTAAAATGGGAGTGTAATGGTTTAGTGTCCTTTTGATGAGGCTGGCTTATTTGAGTCCAAATGTAATCAGATTGTCTAAAGTATCTATTGATATCTAAATCATTTAATGTGAACTTTTTCCAGATTGGGGTGATTAAGGCTGTGAAGAAATCTATGCATGCATCTAAAGAACTTACTGCATTGTGGGTCACCCACCGACTCGAAGAACTTGAGCATGCAGATGGTGCTGTTTACATGGAAGAAGGCAGAATCGTTATGCAAAGTGATGCATTGAGTGTATCTGACTTCATTGAAGTTAGGAAGGCCTCTTATCTGGATCAAATCAATTTATGACCATCTTCTCAGAAGAATCACATTTACCCTTTGGATCAAATGGTGCACCATAGATTTTTGGTGTATGATTTCAAATGATGCTATTTTTCTTTATTGGGCAGCTCGTGATTAATTTTACGATTTTGATTTCTAAATAAATTTTAACTACCTGAAGAGTTTTAAAAAGAGGAACAAAGTTGAGCAAAGAAGTGTGTTGGAAATACCTTCAAACAAAAATGGAGATGCATTGCTTGCTTGAGTACCAGGTATCCAAAAGTCTTTTTTTTGCCTATCAATTGTGTACGTAAAATTTAGGATGGGATATGAATTACTGGATTGAGCCATAAAACTCTTGGGTTAAACCACATTAAAAGATTGAATTCAATCAATTACTTAGTGCATGAGCAACACCTACATGACCACGAGTCATTGGGTATGGATTTCCAAATGAATAATCGGATTAAATTGGCCACTTGTATCTCTCATACGAACAACTGGGCTAAGGACTCACGAACCGCTAGGAATGAACGTATGGACGGACATCTTGACAAATGAGGTGAGCCAAAATATGCTTTGATACCATGATAAAATGTAGGATATGTATGGATTATTGGATTGAGTTATAAGGCACTTGGGCTGAACTATATTAAAAGATTGAGTCTAATTGATTACTTAGTTTATCTCAAGAGCTTATATTATTTTTCTCTTCAATTTTCGATGCTGGATACTTTAGCAGGTTTCTTTAACATTTGATCTATAGTAGAAGCATGTTGGCGTAGTGGCAAGGAAGCCACTCCAAGCTTCTTTGCATTTCGAGCCCCCCTCATGCGCTTTAGAGGTTGAGATTATTAGATTGAATACACTACTGGGTTTGGGAGGTACTAAAAAAACATTTGGTCAACGTGGTACTGCATGGTTAGTGCAACTCTATGGTTTCTAGTGGTCAAGTATCTCAGTTTTGAAATTGATGGTAAAATAGTGTGCTAGTCTCTATCTACTCTCTCCCCTCCCCCAAACATCTGCATACCTCAATGGAGTTTGACTCGGCAATTCATTTAAGATCTAAAATTCCTCCATGTGTCCCGCAATGAAGCTTACACCCTCTACAAGATAGAATTAATATTTTTCTCATTTTCTATTTAGGAGAGGAATATGCAGTTCATAATCTTTCTCTTCTAAACAAATTTCATTGCGTGAAAGAGGGAATTTTTTTTTTCATTTGCTTCTACGGAGTAGTGTATGATTTACTCTAATTCACTCATTGATATGTGTTTACCTGCTTTATTTTACTACCCAAATAAACATCAATCTAGATGTATAAAGTGAAATTCGCATTTACTTTTCCAATTTAGTACCTAATACTTTTTATTCTCTAAATAGTATACGAATAATGTCTAGTGGTAGGAACCATTTGCAGTAGTAGTGGTGGACATTTACTCGAACAATGCCAAGCGAACATTGATTATGGTATTACACTGCGAAATTAGAATGTATGGTACTACATTGGAAACCTCAGTATGTTTTAGTAGTATATAGCTAAATTACTCATGTATCAATACCTACTTCATCCCATAAAAAGGTTTCTAACTCGGTAGATGATATTTGATTGAAAATATTTATTACTCCATAATATATATTGGAAAAAATTGGAAAAAACTGGAAAAAACTAGAAGAAACTAAAAAAAAGCTAAAAGAAATTGGGTAAAAAACTTAAAAAATTGAAAGAAACTGGAAAAATAGCATTCTCCCTCCTCCAAACAACAGAATAAATCACCATTGTTTATCGTCATCCACACCATTAACCTGATCGCAAGGAAGTCATTGACCAACTTAGGTCGCATGTTAGCCATTATTCCCACTTCAATTCTATCATTCAGGATTACAAGTTTCNGGACTTAGTGTTCGTTTTTCGCATCGCTCGTCCAATGAGACATCATACTAGCGTGAGCTACTCACTTAATGGAGGATGCATATGACAAAGGTTGGTTCACCCCTGAATTTTATTGTAAACTTCCTTTAGTTTTAATGGAGTGTTTCTTTCAAAAAATAATGGATCACGTCGGATGCAGGTAGAAATATTTTCTCACCCGTCACCTGGTCCATCACCCAACTCACTAATATTTAATTTATAAAAGATTAAAATAAGAAATAGTAATTTTGTTGAGTACATAAGTTTGTTCTACTGTCCAAATCGAAAGTAACTCAAATTACTTGCTATTGTCTCAAAAGGGAGAAGAGGGGGAGACCAATGTCTTCTCAAAGTTGAAATTTCTGCTGAATTCCAGCAGATATTGACGCCTTGCACCCTTGCGGTAGACTATGAGTTGCCCTTAGTCCCCTTCTTTTCCTTGCCGACCACAGAGTTGAGAAAAGGGGAAGTGTCAACACATCTATCTGTTGGGCATGAATTCAAACCCCTTTAGATATTTTTATCTTGAAATTAATTTTTCAGGTTTTGATAGATGACAAACTCAACGAAGAACGAAAATTTATTTTTCGGTTTAAGAAAAGCAAAAGAGACACATCAAGAAATTCACAATGACTACGTTTCAATATTCCTACGCCAGCTTGAAGTGAAGAGAAGTTTTCTGAAAACTTTTATCTCTTTGAGTCTAGGAAATTTGTAAGGATCACAAAATATCTTTATACTTAATTTTTTTTGAGAGATATACATTAAAAATTTATATTTATTTTTGGAGTCAGTTAAAAAATCCTTTAACAATTCAAAAATAAATTTATTGAGTCAGTTACAAAAGATATGTCAAACAATTTTAAAATACTCTTTTTGATACAAGAAAATATTTTTGGGAAGCAAAAATATTTTTACCCCAAATAGTTTTGACATCGTTTGACACAAAAAATATTTTTGGGACTCAATTTCTATACCCCAAATCACAAATCACCCCATTTATTCAAAAATACTGTTGGAAACAACAAGATATGAACAATTGTCCTTCACTATCTCGCCATTGATTCTTGTTGTCACTGCTAAATTCGCAATATTAATCGATTTTCTACTTGTGCAAAAATCGATTTTAATTCTTTCGCAGATTGGGTTCTCTCGCACAATTTTTTAATTGATTAGTTCACCTTTGGTGATATCGGTTTCTGGTACAAATCGATTAAAATGTTCTTAATTTAATCGATTAGCTACTTGTAGCATAGAAGGACTTTTACTCAGCAGCATCTAATCGATTTTATCACTTCTTTAAAAATCGCTTTTTTGTTCCTTGCATCTCATACTTAGCCAATTTCTTGCCCCAATGGACATATCCTTTTTTTCACCTATATAATCCCTCTTCCACCTTCATTCTACACACAATACAAGCACTCCAATCCTCTCATTCATTACTTTTGATTCTTGCTCTATCTCTTGATAATCAAATACTATTTTGAGAGCTATATATATATATATATATATATATATATATATATATATATATATATATATATAGTGCAAAGATATTGTCATCCATAGAGCTTACACTTTAAACACTACTTGCTCATTTGTGAGCTTCATTTCTTGTGTTGTTAAACTCATCTTGTTTGAGTTGTTGTTCTTAAAACTTGTGTGACTCAAGTCTTGGTGTTGTAAGAAAGTGAGGCTTGTGTGATTCAAGTTCTCAAGTTGTACCGGTTTTTCAAGCACCCGTTGAAGCTTGAAGATTAGTAGGACCTTTGAGAGAGTCTCTCGGAGGACTAGACTAGCCACGAGCTGCGACTTTTATTTCACACACGCGAAAAACGCATATTCTTGAAAACAACTCTATTCACCCCCCCTCTAGAGTTGCACATTTGTCTAACACTATCCTCTCTTGGTCATCAGGGCGTTCTAGACTAGAAAAACCAATTTTGGAAACAAACTGAGTAAAAAAAAGCTTCCCTTGACCATAACGGGTAGGGAAGGCAGTCTTTGGCATGTCTTCTTTCTTTATGGGGATCTGATGGTATCCTTATCGGAGGTCAATCTTGGAGAATATCGTCGCTCCTCTAAGCTGGTTGAACATATCATCAATTCGTGGCAATGGATAACGATTTTTGATAGTAACCTTGTTGAGTTGTGTGTAGTCAATACATAGCCTCATAGAACCATGTTTCTTTTTGACAAAAAGAACTGGAGCTCCCCACGGGGACACGTTTGACCTGGTGAACCCTTTATCAAGTAGTTTTTGTAATTGGGCTTTCAGGTCCTTCATCTCTGCAGGTGCCATGCGATAAGGGGTCACTGAGATTGGTTCCATTTTTGGAATCAATTCGATATAAAATTCTACTTCCCTCGGCGATGGCAAGCCGGGGAGATCGTCAGGAAATACGTCGAGGAATTCACACGGTGGGGATATCCTTCAGCTCAGGGGTTTCCTTTCCCATATTGTGAACATGTCATATGAAGGCTCCACAATTCTTGCGAATAAGGCGTTTAGCTTGCATGTAGGACATGTCAGAAAATATGTCAAGGAATTCACACACTGTGGGGATATCCTTTTGCTTAGGGGTTTCCTTTCCCGTATTGTGAACATGGAATATGAAGACTTCACATTTTTTGTGAATAAGGCGTTTAGCTTGCATGTAGGACATGAACCCTGGCGGTTTAGGGAACAACTCCCCCTTAACCTCTACAACACTACCATCGCCGATCTTCAATCGTACGGTTTGTAGCCCGCAATCGATAAACGCCTGATGTTCAGTGAGCCAATCCATACCAAGGATAATGTCAAACTCCATGTACGGAAGCTCGATTAGAATTGCAGACATTTGATGTCCATGGGCCATCAACAGACAATTGCGGTATACATGATGGAGTCTCATGCTATGTTTTAACGGGTTCGATACTATCATAGGATATTCTAAATTGCCTCTCCGGATATCAAATTTCTCAAGCATAAGGTCGCAAACACACGGCAGTGTAGAGCCTGGCTATATTAATGTAAACAATTAAGTATTGAATAGCGAGAACATACCCAAGATGACGTCCCGGTTGATCTCGCTTTGCCCTTTCATAGCGTAGGTGCACGCCTTGTCTTACGATTCTGGCCTTGATTCTGGTTTTGCACCCTCTGAGGATTCGAGCCTGCTATGGATCGCTGGCTCTAAGCGGGTCGTTGTCAAGATTGACACATGTGGTCAGACATCGGGATGCAACTTCTTCCTGAATTCCTCGATCTAGTCCACTGGTGTGGACACTAGCGTTGGCGCGATCAAGCTTCTGGCGTAGCTCGACGAGGGTCATGTCTCCATACTACAGCTCCAAAAACTAGGTGCGTTTCTCCTCCCGGCAGCGAGCTGGTATCCACTCCTTCTTGAAGGCCCAAGTCCCAAGGTTTGGGTGTGTTCTCATTAGATCAATGCACTTCCACCATTTGTATGCTCCCTTGAGGAGAACCTGGGACGTAAGTTTAGGATGGTCCACTATGGGGACGTTCAGATTCCCAAGCACTCAAGCAGTCTGATCAATCCAATCCAATGCAACTTGGAGCTCGATGATTCCGTCCCCAAAGAACTCCTCAACCCCGTTTCCCTTCAGGGCCTTGAAGGTGATTTGACGAGGCGGTGGCTGGAACATTGGCGCATTCACCATCTACTGTAGAAAGTTCGCCATGAAGGCAAACAACACAATATCGGGCTGGTTCCCGATGCTCTGCTTGTTTCCAGCGTTCAAGGGGTTGTTGGTAGTCTAGCGTTTTGATTAAGGATGAAGCTTGAAGCTTCAGTATTGGCGTCGATGTGCTCGTCACTTACGTGCTGTGTGTTATAGTGCTTGTGGGTCGATGCTTGGCTCATTCTACAAACAAATTTTCCAAGTCAGTTGAGCACAAATAACATGCAAAGGTATACACCTATTATCTCCCGGGGCATATGAGTCTCAAGCGATGTAGTGC